CCCTTATTTTGACTTCTTGTCAGTTTTGCCTTAATTAAGTTGACTTATCACGTAATTTGATAAGATTGCGTTGGGTTAGTATTGAGTTAGTGTGTGCTATCATACGAGTATGTATTGAGTTGGTATTGGGTTGGTATTGTAGATCTTCACTAGTGCTAATGTATGTCCGTCTTTTAGCTGCTGCTGCTGCATAGTTGATTTCTACGCATTCGCTCTCTGTGGGTGGTACATTTGGGGAGATTGAGATTGCTTTCATCCGGTTTGGTACTCGTGGATGGCTTTAGTATTTGGTTGGTATCTCTGATCCTCGTTTCTGCTTCAATGCAGTACGTGTTAGTATTGGGTTGGCGACGGTTTCGAATGACGCATGAGTTGTATCAATCCCTGACTATGTACTAGCTGCTTGTATATATCCCAATCCAAACCAATCCAAACCAAACCAAACCAATCCAAACCAATCCAAACCAATACCAAACCAAACCAAACCAACTCAATCTAAGTGCTGCTTTCTTTGCCAGGTTCTGACTCTTCAACATATGGTACCTCATGAATGTCTGCCATAGCTTTATTTGTTGCCTATTGGGTTGGCTTAGTATTTGGATTCTCGATTCTTCTTTCTATAACAATCTTCTTCCTTATGCCCTTTCTTCTTGCAGTACGTACAGGCGAGGTTTGAATGGGTTGGTAGTGGTTAGTATTGAGTTTCCAGGTTTAGTATTTAGCGAAGGTGGTGATCCTCCTCCGACTTTCTCTTGAGCAGCCAAAGCTTTACAGATCTGCACAAAACGTTCAATATCCGGCTTCGTGGGGTCGAATACTTTTCCGGCCTGGGCTGCATTGGGGACTGTCCTTTCGATGGCCTTGACTATTTGTGCCCACGTGATTAGGTTTAGGCTGTAAGCTCTACTTGCGTACACGGCCCATTTGAAAATAGCATCTCCTTTCTTGAAGTGAGGAACTTCCCATCGTGGCGTATCCGCCGGCCTAAATATCTCGCTAAGTCTATTTCGTACACTAACCCAATTTAAAGCTGCAGATGCTGGCTCGACTGCTTCCAGTGTCTTAAGTCCTACATAGAACTCATTGAGTTGGGTGCTAATCTTCTGGAAACAGACCAGATTTCGTGCCAGGCCACTTTGAATAATCTTCCTGATGCGGGTACTGACGGCCAACTCATGCCAGGTCTGGCTACGGCCTAGATAACTTTCCCAACGGATCAATCCTTTTACGCCTTCGTTAAACTTAAAGTTAGCTAAACCTAACCCAATACCAACCCAAATCTTCCTCTTGCATCAACTTGTTGTCCTGCCTAGATTCACATCCCATGTTTTCTTTTAGTTGTTCTCTTCAGTCCATCTTTCAAACTCTTGTATCTCGTATTTATTCATTTTCAAGTCTAGTTATAGATAGGAAGATTCCTTATTGAGTAATTCCTTATTGCGTATTTCCTTATTGCGTAATTCCTTATTGAGTAATTCCTTATTAGGTAACTTTCTTCTCGCCTTTTTAGAAACCGGTACTGTCCTTTAGGCACATACAGCAGTTGTATTGCGCTGGTTCATTTGCTAATTAAGTAATAAAGCGTATAGATTGGGTTAGTATTGAGTTAGTGTTAGTATTGAGTTGGTTTTGGTTTTGGAGTTGTTATTAGTGCTACAGCTGTTAATTGATGAGTAAGTTGTGAGTAAATAGGATGGCTACTAGTAGTTACTCTTCATAAGCATTCATAGCAGGCTTATCTAGCTGTCTCATGCCTTTATTGGATGCTTACTTGCCTCACTAATACCTCACTTTAGCCCAACTAACCCTATTCTTACTGATCTACCTAACTACTATCCATTTGATGAGTTACACTCAACTATACCCTTCTCTTAACTTCTCATCACTTTTGCTCTAACCCAACTCAATACTAACACAAATACTAATCTGGATGTACTTTTTGTAAAGCTTACTCTTTTAGAATTACTACTCGGTTGGGTTTTAGTTTGAGATTTAGTTTAGTTTAGTTTAAGTTGTTAGAAATAAGTAGTTGTTTATTGATTTAAGTACGACTTGTGATACTTACTGGTCTTGCATGAGTATTCTGTTGGTATTCTGTCTAACTCATAACGTATTGGGTTGGGATGGTGTTAGTCTGGTTATATAGAACTTTCCGTTGGACTTGCTTTTGAATATCAACGCAATAGTCCTACTTGTCTTGATTGAGTTGGTATTAAGTTGGTATTGAGTTGGTATTGGGAGTGAAGCTACAATGTATTTATTGATTTTATCGTTATCTATACTTTATGATCACCTGATGTTATCATCAAATACAAATAAGATCTTATTCAGTATGACCAACTATCTTCATCCTTTGGTACGAACCAGTGAGTGACATTTATGTCATACAACATCCCAATACTTAACCTTTAGCTGGCTAAACTTCCTAACTAATATGTCCCTACTTCATACACTTCCAATTCCTTCTCCTTGAACTCTTTCGCATATTCCTTTACTCTTTCCAGTATCCTCTCTTTGCTCACTGCTTTCCTGGCTTCTCCTGGTGTCATTCCTATTCCTATGTGATAACAGCTATTGTATTGTATTGGGTTAGTATTCCTTTCGTCTTATTCAATACTAACTCAACTCAATACCAACTAGTTACTCTTTCAGCCCGACCAGTACCTTTGTGATGGTATGGAAGTCTCAAGTAATGTTCTAGTCCTTTATCCTTTATCCATTCTTCAATCTTAGCATTCTCAAACTCTCTTTCTCGATCCGATATTATCTTCTTAAATTTCATCTCCTTAAGTACATCTTCCAAGAATGTTATAATCTTGTTTGGTGTCTTAGTTTCCGTTATCTTGGCCCACACATATCTAGTGAAATAATCTATCACAATCATGACATATGAATTCTTATACTCCACTAACCCAACCCAATACCAACCCAATCTGTGGCCATGATATATTTATCCGAGTGCACATGTTTGTTATCTCATTCGAGACATGTCTTACACTTCTCTAATATCCCTATCAGATCCTTCTGACTCACTTTAAATCCCTTTTCTTCCAACTCCGGTGTTATACTTTTACGGTATACTTTTCCTATGGTTCAGTTCCTCATGTATATCTTCATAACTAATTGTATCTTCACAACCAATTATACCTTCCTAACTAATTCTTCTGTACTCTTAGATATGATTTCGTTTACCTTAACTTCTTTGGAAAGAGGCAAGAATCTTGATAGTGCATCTGCAATTATCATCTCCTCCCCCGGTTTATAATGCGGAATAAACCCAACCCAACCCAACCTAACCCAACTCAACTCAACCCAATACTAACACCAACCTCTTATTCATATCCGGAATAATTGTTTCTGTCGCTTCTATCACCTTCCTTTTCGCTTCCTTGTACACCTTATCTCGTTCTTCAGTCCATCTGAATACTGCTCCTGTCTTCGTCAATTCATACAAAGGTCTCAATGTCACTGAGATATCTTTCATGAATTTTCTACTACACTCTGCTACACTCTACTCTATTCTACTATAACCAAGCATACCTATGAATTACTTTACATCTTTCACTTTCTCTGATGTCTTATAATCAACAACTTCTTACATCTTACTTATACCTTACTTACATCTTACTTACACCATACTAACCCAATACTTCCATCTGGTCCTATCTTATTCTCGGATATTTGATACCCTAAGAATTTAACCTTCCTTCTCGCGATCTCTACTTTTTCCCAACCCAAATACCAACCCATACTTATGTGCTCTACTTAACACTTCCTTCAAATGCTTCTTATGTTCTTCTATCGTGCCTGAGTATACCAATCTGGTGTCTATGTAAATAATGCATATCTTCCCTCCTAATCCGTCAAAAATGCTCTCCATATTGCGTAAATCCCAACTTCAGTGCTGTCTTCTTTCTGTGCCCTTCCTTCAACCCAACCCAATACTAATCCATCCTTGATATCCAGCTTATTGAATATCTTCTTTCCTCTGATATGATCTGTCAAATACTGTATGTCTGGAATCGGATAATTATCCTACTCTGCCATGCCATTCAGTTTCCTTAAGTCAGCACACAATCTCCATTTACCCGATGGTTTCTTCTGCAATGATATAGGACTTAACCATTCCGATGGTTTAGTCTTCTCTAAGAATCCTTGCGCTTCCAACGAATTTATCAACTCCTGTGCTATCTCCCTTAAATCACCTGTTACTCCTCTTTTCACGCACACTACCCTTCCTGGCGATGTTTCCATTTCTGCGGGTTCAATTACCCCCTATCCTGCAGTTCTCGTTCAACTGCCTCTTTCCTCACTTTGACCTCTTCTTTACTCAGTTCAGAGTCTACCTTTACTCCTGACATGCCTATCTCTATAACACATTTCCATTATGATCTTCTCCC